TTTTGCTAAAATGAGCCAAAACGACCCCTGGCTGCTTAACCGATCCCCACAAACACAATTGACCAACCACTCCTGGACCAAAGACAACAACAGATAAGAGATACATTTGGCCTATTAGTTCAGTTACCTTTCTCCTATCTCAAAACCCACCCTAAGTTGTGGGTCCCACAGACTAGTCTTTAACTGGCCTAAAGTTAAAAAACACCGGTAATAAAATATGACGAATTATTTTTCCCCATGGTGTCCTTGGTTACTATTCTATCACTATGAAGAGACTCCATGACCAAGACAACTCTTAGGAAAGAGAGTGTTTAATTGGGGGCTGGCTTACAGTTTCAGAGATTTAGTCCACGACTGCCATTGCCCAGAGCGTGGCAGCACTGGAGCCTTGGCTGAAAGCTACAACCTGACCCATAGGTAGAAAGACACAGGGCTTGGCGTGGGCTTTTGAAACCTCAAGGCCTACTCCCAGTGACACACTTCCTCCAACAAGGCCACACTCCAAATCCTTCAACTCCCTGGTCGAAGTATTCAACTATGTGAGCCTATGGGGGCCATTCTTATTCACACCACCACTTATGGCTGGTTTGAGAAAGTGAGGTACAGCTCTCTCACCCAGTGTCCATGCCATCTTGGACAGAATGCAGTTTTATGTGATTACCTTGATAAAAACCTCAAAGCACAGATACTCAAGAGTCCTGTTCTTTATTTTCTCTGGTGTGCACATCTCCAAGGGTATGCGCGCGCGCGGCGCGCGTGTGTGTGTGTGTGTGTGTGTGTGTGTGTGTGTGTGTGTGTGTGTGTGTGCGCATGTATGTACACTAGGGGTTGATACATTCCTGTTTCTTCAGTCATGCGCCACCTCATATTTTGAGGCTCAGTCTCTCACTGAACCTGGAGATTTGGCGAGGCTGTGATAGGAGAGCAGGACCTCAAAAAGCAGAATGGAGACTCTCGCGTGAAAGAAGCCAGGTTACAGAGAAGGCATGGAAACCCTTTCTTGCCTTGGTATCACCAAACAGGACAAACGAGAGATGACAAGAGGGGACGTAAAGGGACACGCACAGCATGGCTGGGTGCCACATGGGCTCTGTCCTTGGCTCAGCAGCCTGCTTCCACTGTTTTCTTCTCTCCATCTGCTGCTTCGATTTTACGCCAAACTTAAAAGGCGTGGCCTTTCACCATTTGCTCCCCGGTGGCCGCTGGGATTTTTCACCTAACCTGTTCTGTTTTTCTCTTAAACCCTAACAAAATTGTCCTGTAACTTCCTTTTGAGTCTCCTTCTAAATGCTTCCATGAATAGACCAAGAACCTGCAAAGAGAACCTCACTTTCCCTACTAACAAGACTTTTAGGCCAATGAGCTCCAGGGATCCTGCTCCTGCCTCCCCAGTGCTGGCATTACAATTTTGTGTTATCACCCCCTGGCTTTTTTTTTTTGTTGTTGTTGTTTTGCTTTGGTTGGTTGGTTGGTTGGTTGGTTGGTTGGTTGGTTTTTGAGACAGGGTTTCTCTGTAATGCTTTGGAGGTTGTCTCAGAACTTGCTCTGACCAGGCTGGCCTCAAACTCACAGAGATCCGCCTGCTTCTGCCTCCCAAGTGCTGGGATTAAAAGGCATGCACCACCACCGCCCGGTTTATTTATTTGTTTTATGTGCAAACGTTTCAACTGTGTACCACATGAGTGCCTGGTGCCTTCAGAGGCCAGAAGAGGGCATCAGATCCCCTGAAAGTGGAGCCAGAGATGGTTGTTAACCACCATTCAGGTACCGGAAACCAAACTTGAGTCCTCTGCAAGAACAGCAAATGCTCTTGACATCTGAGTCAACTCCCCTGATTCCCAGGTGGGACTTTACTCATTCATTGACTAATGAACTAACATATTCTCTCAAGAACGGAGCCTGGTGAGGTGGCACACCCCTTTAATCCCAGCACTCAGAAGGCAGAGGCAGGCAGATCTCTGTGAGTCCGAGGTCCTGGTCTACAGAGCGAGTTCCAGGACAGCCAAGGCTACACAGAGAAACCCTGCCTTAAACAAAACTAAACAAAAAAATGAATAGCTGAAAAGCCAGTTTGACTCTGGTCTCTCATTTGTGTCCCATTCACCATGCTGTCTTGCCTCACCCCAAGGCTCTCCAGAGACCCCACAAGCAGAAAAGCCCTTACCAAATGCTACCCCTGGACCTTGGCCCTTTTCTGCCTCCAAAAACTAAGCCTTTAGTCTCAAGAAATTCCCAGCTGTGGTATTTGTCAGATTTCTCAAGGGTGCTTAAAGAGACAGGAGGCAGAAAGAAGATGAATCTGATGTCAGCAGACAGGAGTGTTTATTTCGAAGAGTGAGAGCCAGACACGAGAAAAGGGGTGTCTGCTAAAGCTGAAGGCATGCTTGGGGTTAATAGAAGAGCACCGGGGAAAGGGAGACTAAACCCGACTGCTGGGGCCAAGAGAAAGCCTGCAGTTTCTCCTTCCTGGAGTCGTTTGTCAAGACAGGACTGTCTTATCTTTAGGAACTGCCTTGCCTGGTGTTATCACAATGCAGGTGACAGCCAGAGAGTAGGCTAGGCCATGGTAGTGAAGGGGAAGGAGCTAGAGTTTCAACACAGGGCCTTGGTCAGGACCGGACAGGGCTTGTTCAAGGTTTACTCTACGCTATTCAATTATAGGAACAGAAAACAGAAGAAGAGAATCAAGACACAAATCACAAGGTCGTGCGGCCGGGGCTGGGGCTGGGGAAGTGGCAGGTGTGAGGGGACCTTCGAAGCTTGATGTGTTGCACACGCCAGCCCAGGGGACAGTGGATTTCTAGAACAATCACTTCTTTTCTCCTCTTGCCTGTATCCCTCTCGTCTCCCGATTGCTTTACAGTTCCTCATTAGAAGTGTCTCCTGCATCTCACACCCATCACTGTTTTCTGTTTTCCACATTCCCTTCCAGGAACGGGTCATTTGCATGAGGCTATTAGCATAGTTTTCTTTAGTCATTGTTGCCATGGAGCTGCTTTGCGCATGGCTTGCTGCATCCAGAAGCATTCCACATTGCTCACAGTCTCAGAACGGTTTCACTTTCAACGCTGTTTCCCGTTTGGTTTGGTTTGGTTTGGTTTTTAAAAGAACACTACTGGGTTTATAGCTGTCCCCTTCTGTTAAAGACTTAGTTCTTTGCGGAGAGTAAATTCTTGGAAGTGGGATAGTGGATCAGAGCATACAGACGTTCACCTTGCCAACTGCCTGCCCTGTCCAAGACCCTGACCACCCATAAAGACGATGGTGACCTTTGTTCTTAATATGCAAAGAAAAAAAGGTGAAAAACCCAGTGGAGAATAAGAAGGAATACAAGTGTCATCATAAATATTGAAGCCTGATCAACCTTTCCTAGAATTAGAAGCTTGGAAACCCCATCTTAAAATTGAGGATCACAAGTTTAGCACACGACTCATATAAATCAAAGGTGGAGAAACATCTGGTACTCTTTGGAGTGAGATTATCAAGAATTAGGGGAGGGTAACTTAGAAATGGATGTCAAATTTTAAACTGTGCATGCTTGTTATGTGTTTGGGGAGTGTTATTCTTTGGTAGATGACCTTGCTTATCATGTGAGAGACTCTGGGTTAAATGCCCAACTTAAAAAGTTACATTGGGCCTGGCGTTGGTGGCACAAGCCTTTAATCCCAGCACTCGGGAGGCAGAGGCAGGCGAATCTCTGTGAGTTCGAAGCCAGCCTTGTCTACAGAGCTAGTTCCAGGACAGCCTCCAAAACAATACAGAGAAACCCTGTCTCAAAAACCTAAAAAAAAAAAAAAAAAAAAAAAAAAAGTTACATCGCATCCAAAGCAGAGACAGACGGATCTCTGAGATTGAGGCCAGTCTGGTATACAGTTCCAGGACAACCCAGGCTACACAGAGAAACCCCTGTCTCAAAAAAAAAAAAATATTACACGCCTTTATTTTGTTTCTGCACTCAAAAATCTTTCTGCACAGCCCAGACTCTAGATCCTACTGCCTCAGCATCCTGGGCTTCAGTTATAACTGTGCACCACCATACCCTGTGGGCACAAGCCTCTTTTTCTTTCACATGTGTGTATATGTGGTGTGTGCTCATGTGAGCAGGTACCGCGGTGGATGCCAAGAGGTTGACATCCAGTGTCTCTTTATGGTCCACCTCATTCACTGAGACGGTTTCCTTGGTGGAATCCTTTTTGTCGATGTGGATTGTCTGTGTAAGGACTCAGGCATTATGCTGGCCTGCCCCTGTCACCTGGCAGGATGCATTCAGGCAGTACCCTGGTCAGCCCAGGTTTCCATGAGTAGTAGTCTTTAACCCCGCCCACTTATGTGTGTGTCATGGCCCCCCAACTGTTCGCTGTTACCCTGGGGTGGACAGGACTTTCCCTGTCTCCCTTTTCTCTTCTTCTCCCCCTAACCCCGTTTCTTTACCTCTTTTCTCTTTCCTTCTCCTTCCCTCCCCTGCGTAATAAAACTTCTCACTTAAGCTCTGTCTGCCTGGCATGTTTGTCCCCACCTCGGTCACCCTCACGCCGGACATGGAATCCACCAAGGTCCCCCACGGGAATTATCATAGCACTCTGTCTAGCCCGCTTGCTCTAGGGATCCTCCATCTCCACCTTCCAAGTGATGGAATTACAGGGGTGCCACCACACAGACTCAGCTTTCCCATGGGCTCTGGAGACGCTGACTTCAGTCCTCATGACTGCGCGGCAAGTGCTTTTAGCACTGAGTCATCACTGAGTAACCTCAGTCCTGTACATGCCTTGACCGGGCATTCCACACCCACGACTTCGTTCCCCAGATTTCCTTATGAAAATAAGTGAAGACAAGGGAACTACTGTGTTGAACTCTGTATTGAAGAGGAACAGTGGGTCTTCTTGTGTTTAAATGATAAGTGGAGGCATCCATGGCTCTTCATTTTATGTCATAGGATTTGAAATTGGGGCTAAAATTTTATCTTATGTTTTAAATACTAAAGAAGAGAGCTAAGCAGATGATGGCGGCGCATGCCTTTATTATCCTCACTGGTGGAGGCAGAGGCAGGAAGATCTCTGTGAGTTCAAGGCCAGCCTTATCATCAGAGTGAGTTCTACAAGAGCCAGGGCTACACAGAGAAACCCTGCCTCAAAAAAAAAAAAAGCAGAGAGAGATGGAGAGGGAGGGATGGAGGGGGAGAGAGAGGGAGGAGGGAGAGAGAGAGCCCAATAGCAGAAGCAATTATTAACATGTTTTCAAGGGCATAAAGAAGTCGTCACATGACAAGCAAAGGGATCATGGTGGTTTCTTTCTTATCAAACTTTGCTGGTGACCACGTTTGTTCTCTCACTGAATTCTCGCCAAGCAGCCAAGCATCTCCTTTCTGTGCCAGGACCTGGGTGAGAGGGCAAAATCATAGCATTTAGGAAAGAAAACAATTGAAGCCCAAGGAACTTAAGCAAGGACACAGAGGTGCCAAGATGTCTCCTCCACCTCTGCTGCCTGCTTCAGGATGAAGACCCATGTGTCTGTCCGTCCACCTAAGGGGCAATCGTGCATCTGCCACAGATCTGAGGGTTATCACAAGAGTTCAGATTGTAGCCTGAGCGAATCTGTAAACCCTGTGTGTTCCAAGCCACATGAATGACACCCCAGATCAGTGCCTGCCAAGCTTGGCTGGCCTGCACAGCAGCATCTAGCAACATTTTCACCACTATGGAAGGTCCTGGACTCATGTTCACCACAGCTTCCCAAACCACGTGTACCGACTGAGCACCCGGGAGAGTGGCTGGTGCAACTGAGAGACTGGATTCTTTTAATTGTATTTCATTCTAACCAATTCAGATACCCATACGACCATGGTGGCTCCCATCTTGGAAAGCAAACTCTGTAGATACTGGACATAAAGTAGCCTATGATGGGGAGGAGGCTCCTGACATCTCTGGCAGACGCTGTGGTGGATGATGCTGTAGCAAACCACCTGTTGGAGAACTGCGAGAGCCACACAAAACAAGGAACATGGGGGCATACAACAGCAAGCCCTGGCGATTGGTGGCGGAGGTGGGAGGCTTGGAAATGCAAGGGCAGCCTGGGCTGCACAGCAAAGCCTTGACTCGGAAAGCCAGAGGAGTCTGGTTTTTGAAGTCTGACCAAAAGAAAAAGAAAAGAAAAACCAAGCAGAGCCTAAAGTGTTTGCAGGACATCACGGACAGTACCTAGGCTTTCGTGAAGTTGCACTGAGATGCACACTAGGTCGTTTTTATGCCTGCCTTCAGGGCCGCTACAGTAGTCAATCCTGTCAGAAGCAAACCATTTATCTGCTCCTTCCAACTATAATAAACAACAACAACAACAACAACAACAACAACACACACACACACACACACACACACACACACACACACACACACACCAGATCAATCCCAGGCTATACCTTGCACTTGGTTATGCAACAAAACCACGATTGGATAGTTCTGGGCTAAAAGAGAAGTCACCGCATAAATGTGGACATATATCTGAATGTGCATTGTGTGAATCTGCACAGGGCAGGGCTATCTAAGTGCTCAAATTGACGAAGCCCTTGCCGTCAACATGACTTGATTTAGAATCACCATGGAAAATACTTCTGGGGGTGTGGGGGGATTTCCGGAAAGACCCATCCTGAATGTGGGCAACACGATCGCATGGGCTGGAGTCTTAGACTTAAACAACAGAGCTGAGCACCGGCATCCATCTCTTTCGGCTTCTTGACTGTGGACATCATGAGGCCACCTGCCTCGATGCTCCTGCTGCCATGCCTTTCCCTCCATGATGGACTATGCGCCCCGAACATGTGAGCCAACGTTTATAAACCCTTGTTCCCTTAAATTTCTCCCTGACATCAATTTGACTGCAACATCTAGTACACCTGCCTAGACCCACCAGCTCAGAACTGTGGCCCTGAGGAACAGGTGGTCTGTGGTAAGGCTCCTGCTTAGTGCTGGTACTCAGTACTCCTCCAACATCGGTTTAAGTCAATAAGTCTTTACTGGCTGGCAGGTAACTACACCAGGTGCTCAGGATTCCAGTGTAGCCCTGAGCCTTTCTCAGGATGAGCTTTTAAGCGCAAAAACTGTTAAGTACGCTCCTCAGTAGTGACGCACACCTTTAATCCCAGCACTTTCAGGCAGAGACAGGTGGATCTCTGTGAGTTCAAGACCAGCCTGGTCTACAAGAGCCAGTTCCAGGACAGCCTCCAAAGCCACAGAGAAACCCTATCTTGAAATCCTCCCCCCCTCCCAAAATCACTAAGTATAAAAACTAGGTTGACATACTTCAGTTAACAAGAACAGTTAGCCAGAAGAGGAACTACAGAAGCCAAAAAAAACCACGGTTGATATATGTTGAGACTTTCCCAGAACTATATGGACTTTGATGGATTAGTCGTTTGTTTTAGTTTTGGCAGGTGGTGGTGTGTGTGTGCTGAATTGTGTGTCCTGGATGGTATTTCCATCATGGAGTCAGTCGTGCTAAGGTCTAGCCTGCTACGGTACAGACCACAGAAGAAGCTCCTCTCCCATACCTCTCCTTGCTACTGGTCGGTCCTGAGCAAGTCCTTGGCTTTCTTCCTACCCTTTTGCACTTGAACTCTTCAGTAACCACTTATAGCTTCCCCTTCCTGTTCTCTTGTCTAGAAAACATGGTGTTTTTCAAGTTTTAAAAACCAATTTATTGTGCTGGGTGTGGTGGCACACGCCTTATAAAACCCAGCACTGGGAGACACAGGCAGGTGGATCAAAGCTAGGTTGTTCTGTACATAGTGAGTTCCAGGCCAGCCAAGGTTACATAGTGAGACCATGTCTTGAAGCCAAAACCACACACACATGCGTGCGCACACAGACACACACACACACACACACACACACACACATGCATAAATGCAAAAACCCATAATTTTTAAAACTTTCCACTAACCCAAATACCACGTCCTCAAGTCCAGATTAGAACTAAAGTTATCTGTTCATCTAATACCCAAGAGTTCAGTTGCTCAGTAGAACAACGACATGGAGTTCTTTGCAAAACAGCACGTGTTAATGGAATTATTACTAGAGGGGACGTGCAGACATATTTGATGTTGGGAAAGTAGGGGACTGAAGGGGGGAGAAGAATGAGGGAGCCATGTATTTTATCTCCTTTGAGCTCGCTCCCTCAGGATCACCATTTTGGTTTCATGACCTAAACACAAACACACACACACACACACACACACACACCATTTTAAATGTAGGTCCCACATATGAGATACATGTAGTTACTGTCTTTCTGAGTCTAGCATCATTTTAGGAACCTTAATAAATTCCAGTCACAATCACACCCTGCAAATGTCATACCTTCATTCGTCATTTTTCCATATGACCACATTGAATTCTGTTGTGCTTGGGTAACACATTTTTAAAATACATTCTGTTGATGGTCATCTCAACTGCTCCAGAGTACACAGTATGGCTATAAACCTGGATGTTCAAGTGTCTGAAGTATGTTGACTAAGAGTCCTTCAGGTATACACCCAAGAGTGGTATAGCTGGGTCACTTGGTAGTTCTATTTCTAACTTGCCTCTACACTAATTTCCATAGTGACCACACAAGTTTACATTCCCACCCACAGGGGACAAAGAGTTCCTTTTTGCCACATCCTCCTGGGTAATTGTCATTTGTTTCCTTGATACTGGACATTCTGACTGAGACAAGATAAACTCTCAAAGTAGTTTCAGTTTGCATTTCCATTGTAGCTAAAGATGCTGGACACCTCTTCAAGTACTATTTTGGCTATTTGTATTTCTCCTTAATTTGTTTAAAGCATGATACACATGGTCACATAAGAAATACAGAGCCTCCCATGGTTATATGCTCATAGAGGTAAATATTATCAACACACATTTTAAAAAATGTCTGTTGAGATGGATGAACAGGTAAAAGTGATTGCTTTAAAGCCTACAACCTTAGTTCAATCCCTAGGAGTCACATAATGGAAGGAGAGAACCAACTCCCATAAAATGCCCTCTGAATTCCACATGGGTGCATGGCACATGCACACTTACATAGATAGATAGATAGATAGATAGATAGATAGATAGATAGATAGATAGATAGATAGATAGATACCATACGACTGGAGTAACTCAGAAATTCCCAAAGTTAAATGTTAAGGCTAACAGAATATGAGTCTCCTAATGCAATTTTTTCCCAAGACAGGGTTTCTCTGTATAACCCTGACTGTCCTGGAACTCACCTATAGACCAGCCTGGCCTCGAACTCAGAGATCCTCCTGCCTCTGTCTCCCAAGTGCTGGAATTAAAGGCATGCTTACCACTGGCCTTGCTCCTAATTCCTAATGCAATTTCTAGGGAAAGATGAATGAATGCATTGAATGAAGTGATACAAACATTTTTATGATGGTACCTGGTACATCACTGATTCTTTCACGTTTCAGCTTCCATTAGAAGAAAAGTATCTTGCCTTTGTCTGTGAACCGTCTTGAAAGACTAACAGTTTGGTAAAGGACGCTGCTGTAAACAGAGTTGAAACGTTTAATCTTTTCTCCCTACATTCCCCTCCAGAATGTAGAAAGACTTAGAGAGTATTCTTAATTCCAGTATGGTTTATGGTTTGCATAAGTTCCACTATATTCCTTTCCCCTTTTTAAAAGACATCATGGGAAACACTGGTTATGGTGTTTAGACTTTGGCTGAAAGTTCTTGGCTGAGAATGATGTTGTGATAGTTAATATTGATTATCAATATGACAATGTCCAGAATATTTAGAAGACCAGCCATGGGCTGGGGCATGCCTATGAGGGATTATCTAGACTAAGGTAGCCTCTGGATATATCTGTGAGGGAGGTTAGTTAAAATGAGAAGCCCCACTAGTAGGTAGCGCCATTCTATAGTCTGGAGTCCTGAAGTAAATAAAAATGAGAAAGGATGCTGAACACCAGCATCCATTGTTCCCGGTTTCCTGACTGATGATGCAATGTGACCAGCTGCTGCAGGCTCCCGCTGCCAGGACATCCCAGTCATTATGTACACTCACACTGTTAGCCAAAAGCCTCTTTCTCTCTTTGTCAGGCCATTTTATCAAAGCAACAGAAAAGTACCTAATATGCTACTTTTCTGAGCAGAGCTGAGGGCCCATAGTGGGACCTGGTGTACCCCATCTCAAGCCTCAGGATGACAATGGGAATTAACCCCTTGCTCAAGGCAGGAGTCCGTGACAATTTCGAGGGACGAGGACAATGGAAGTCCAGTAGGCAGTGTAGGAACCGAAGGTGAGCTCTTGTGTTGTCCTTGTGAGAAGGGCACAGGGATAAACACGTAGGGGACAGGGCTTGGAAGAACAGTTTCCCAGATGGGAACCACT